ACAGTGAGAGGCTGGGGGTGGTGTCCAACAGTGAGAGGCTGGGGGTGGTGTCCAACAGGGAGAGGCTGGGGGTGGTGTCCAACAGGGAGAGGCTGGGGGTGGTGTCCAACAGGGAGAGGCTGGGGGTGGTGTCCAACAGGGAGAGGCTGGGGGTGGTGTCCAACAGGGAGAGGCTGGGGGTGGTGTCCAACAGGGAGAGGCTGGGGGTGGTGTCCAACAGGGAGAGGCTGGGGGTGGTGTCCAACAGTGAGAGGCTGGGGGTGGTGTCCAACAGGGAGAGGCTGGGGGTGGTGTCCAACAGGGAGAGGCTGGGGGTGGTGTCCAACAGGGAGAGGCTGGGGGTGGTGTCCAACAGGGAGAGGCTGGGGGTGGTGTCCAACAGGGAGAGGCTGGGGGTGGTGTCCAACAGTGAGAGGCTGGGGGTGGTGTCCAACAGGGAGAGGCTGGGGGTGGTGTCCAACAGGGAGAGGCTGGGGGTGGTGTCCAACAGGGAGAGGCTGGGGGTGGTGTCCAACAGGGAGAGGCTGGGGGTGGTGTCCAACAGGGAGAGGCTGGGGGTGGTGTCCAACAGGGAGAGGCTGGGGGTGGTGTCCAACAGGGAGAGGCTGGGGGTGGTGTCCAACAGGGAGAGGCTGGGGGTGGTGTCCAACAGGGAGAGGCTGGGGGTGGTGTCCAACAGTGAGAGGCTGGGGGTGGTGTCCAACAGGGAGAGGCTGGGGGTGATGTCCAACAGGGAGAGGCTGGGGGTGGTGTCCAACAGGGAGAGGCTGGGGGTGGTGTCCAACAGGGAGAGGCTGGGGGTGGTGTCCAACAGTGAGAGGCTGGGGGTGGTGTCCAACAGTGAGAGGCTGGGGGTGGTGTCCAACAGGGAGAGGCTGGGGGTGGTGTCCAACAGTGAGAGGCTGGGGGTGGTGTCCAACAGGGAGAGGCTGGGGGTGGTGTCCAACAGGGAGAGGCTGGGGGTGGTGTCCAACAGGGAGAGGCTGGGGGTGGTGTCCAACAGGGAGAGGCTGGGGGTGGTGTCCAACAGTGAGAGGCTGGGGGTGGTGTCCAACAGGGAGAGGCTGGGGGTGGTGTCCAACAGGGAGAGGCTGGGGGTGGTGTCCAACAGGGAGAGGCTGGGGGTGGTGTCCAACAGTGAGAGGCTGGGGGTGGTGTCCAACAGTGAGAGGCTGGGGGTGGTGTCCAACAGTGAGAGGCTGGGGGTGGTGTCCAACAGTGAGAGGCTGGGGGTGGTGTCCAACAGGGAGAGGCTGGGGGTGGTGTCCAACAGGGAGAGGCTGGGGGTGGTGTCCAACAGGGAGAGGCTGGGGGTGGTGTCCAACAGGGAGAGGCTGGGGGTGGTGTCCAACAGGGAGAGGCTGGGGGTGGTGTCCAACAGGGAGAGGCTGGGGGTGGTGTCCAACAGGGAGAGGCTGGGGGTGGTGTCCAACAGGGAGAGGCTGGGGGTGGTGTCCAACAGGGAGAGGCTGGGGGTGGTGTCCAACAGGGAGAGGCTGGGGGTGGTGTCCAACAGGGAGAGGCTGGGGGTTGTGAGCTCACTTGTGTACCACCAATGCCACAAGACCCATTGAGATATTCCCCTCACGTCTGCTGATGAATAATGCAGTGTCGAACCGGTGACAGAAACTTGGAGAGCCCGGCCTTATCTTACACCCCGCCATCTTTATTGCTACTAAAAAACTGAAGCATTGGTCTCGAACACGACCCGATTTAAGCCAGGGCCGGCCAGGGGAAATTAAAATCTCAGCAGCTGGCTAATAGTTTACCCTTAGTAATGCTGGCCAACTGATGTGTGTTTCTGATGAGTTAATCGCTTGTTTTAGTCGGTGTAAGAACATCGTTAGACTTTTTGCTTACATAACGACGTTGACCAACAAAGAATGTGCAAAATAACAGTCTTCTATCAAGAAAAAGCCTTAAAATATATTTCCTCATACCCTTGGGTATATTTCCTTACTAAACTAAAACATGTTACGTTTATTTTTCTTGTCGATGCCATATGGACAAATGCATTTATGGTTTAATGAAGAACTCCCCCCCCCCCCCAATCCAGATCTTCAATCATAACAAGTCTGGAGCAGATATGCCGTACAAGCCCTAGGTTTTAGCATATGTATGAGTTACATAAAGTTGGCGGCACTGGGAGATGGATCACGATAGGGACTCCAAAAACAAAGTATCCCATACAGCCAAATAAATAATAGCAAACAGGCAACTATACCCGGGCCCCAGCTAATGATGTACACCACTAAACCCGGGGCCCAGCTAGTGATGTACACCACTAAACCCGGGCCCCAGTCAATGATGTACACCACTAAACCCGGGCCCCAGCTAGTGATGTACACAACTAAACCCGCGCCCCAGCTAGTGAGGTACACCACTAAACCCGGGCCGCAGCTAGTGATGTACACCACTATACCCGGGCCCCAGCCAGTGATGTACACCACTAAACCCGGGCCCCAAGCTAGTGATGTACACCACTATACCCGGGCCCCAGCCAGTGATGTACACCACTAAACCCGGGCCCCAAGCTAGTGATGTACACCACTAAACCCGGAGCCCCAGCTAATGATGTACACCACTAAACCCGGGCCTCAGCTAGTGATGTACACCACTATACCCGGGCCCCAACAACCGATGTACACCACTAAACCCGGGCCCAAGCTAATGATGTACACCACTAAACCCGGGCCCCAGCCAGTGATGTACACCACTAAACCCGGGCCCCAAGCTAGTGATGTACACCACTAAACCCGGAGCCCCAGCTAATGATGTACACCACTAAACCCGGGCCCCAGCTAGTGATGTACACCACTAAACCCGGGGCCCAGTCAATGATGTACACCACTAAACCCGGGGCCCCAGCTAATGATGTACACCACTAAACCCGGGGCCCAGTCAATGATGTACACCACTAAACCCGGGGCCCCAGCTAATGATGTACACCACTAAACCCGGGCCCCAGCTAGTGATGTACACCACTAAACCCGGGCCCCAGTCAATGATGTACACCACTAAACCCGGGCCCTAGCTAGTGATGTACACCACTAAACCCGGGCCCCAGGTAATGATGTACACCACTAAACCCGGGCACCAGCAACCGATGTACACCACTAAACCCGGGCCCCAGCTAGTGATGTACACCACTAAACCCGGGCCCCAGCTAGTGATGTACACCACTAAACCCGGGCCCCAGCTAGTGATGTACACCACTAAACCCGGGCCCCAGCTAGTGATGTACACCACTATACCCGGGCCCCAACAACCGATGTACACCACTAAACCCGGGCCCAAGCTAATGATGTACACCACTAAACCCGGGCCCCAGCCAGTGATGTACACCACTAAACCCGGGCCCCAAGCTAGTGATGTACACCACTAAACCCGCGCCCCAGCTAGTGATGTACACCACTAAACCCGGGCCCCAGTCAATGATGTACACCACTAAACCCGGGCCCCAGCTAGTGATGTACACCACTAAACCCGGGCCCCAGTCAATGATGTACACCACTAAACCCGGGCCCCAGCTAGTGATGTACACCACTAAACCCGGGCCCCAGTCAATGATGTACACCACTAAACCCGGGCCTCAGCTAGTGATGTACACCACTAAACCCGGGCCCCAGTCAATGATGTACACCACTAAACCCGGGCCCCAGTCAATGATGTACACCACTAAACCCGGGCCCCAGCTAGTGATGTACACCACTAAACCCGGGCCCCAGCTAATGATGTACACCACTTAACCCGGGCCCCAGCTAGTGATGTACACCACTAAACCCGGGCCCCAGTCAATGATGTACACCACTAAACCCGGGCCCCAGCTAGTGATGTACACCACTGAACCCGGGCCCCAGCTAATGATGTACACCACTAAACCCGGGCCCCAGCTAGTGATGTACACCACTAAACCCGGGCCCCAGCTAATGATGTACACCACTTAACCCGGGCCCCAGCTAGTGATGTACACCACTAAACCCGGGCCCCAGTCAATGATGTACACCACTAAACCCGGGCCCCAGGTAATGATGTACACCACAAAACCCGCGCACCAGCAACCGATGTACACCACTAAACCCGGGCCCCAGCTAGTGATGTACACCACTAAACCCGGGCCCCAGCTAGTGATGTACACCACTAAACCCGGGGCCCAGTCAATGATGTACACCACTAAACCCGGGCCCCAGCTAGTGATGTACACCACTAAACCCGGGGCCCAGTCAATGATGTACACCACTAAACCCGGGCCCCAGCTAGTGATGTACACCACTAAACCCGGGCCCCAGCTAGTGATGTACACCACTAAACCCGGGACCCAGCTAGTGATGTACACCACTAAACCCGGGGCCCAGTCAATGATGTACACCACTAAACCCGGGCCCCAGCTAGTGATGTACACCACTAAACCCGGGCCCCAGTCAATGATGTACACCACTAAACCCGGGGCCCCAGCTAGTGATGTACACCACTAAACCCGGGGCCCAGTAAATGATGTACACCACTAAACCCAGGACCCAGCTAATGATGTACACCACTAAACCCGGGCCCCAGCTAGTGATGTACACCACTAAACCCGGGGCCCCAGCTAATGATGTACACCACTAAACCCGGGACCCAGTCAATGATGTACACCACTAAACCCGGGCCCCAGCTAGTGATGTACACCACTAAACCCGGGGCCCAGTCAATGATGTACACCACTAAACCCGGGCCCCAGCTAATGATGTACACCACTTAACCCGGGCCCCAGTCAATGATGTACACCACTAAACCCGGGCCCCAACAACCAACTTCACCGCTTCGATTAATGTGTCAAGGTTGAGTACTGGTTGGTGTCCTCTCTCATTACGATGGCTTGTGTTTGGGGGCGTGAAATGGTGGCACATGTATGTGCTAACCGTATGACTTTATCGAACTAAAAAAGCTAAAGAAATTGTAAAACGTCGACAGGAGAGACGATGAGAAAAGAGAGAGAGAGAGGAGAGAGAGAGACTCACCCATGATCCAGTAGGGTTTGTACTCGTAGATTGCACTGGTCACTGCTTGAAACACCGCCGTCACGGCCAGGCTGGCGAAGCCCCAGTTGGACGCGAACACGAACCACCTCCAGAGCTGACCCTGGTAGAACTCGATCGTCTCATAGGCCATGTCGCCCGACACCCAGACCAGCATGACAAGCCCGGCCACAACACGGTAGGTGATGTACCACTTGGGGCGGCAGTGCCACTGTGGAGAGAGATGGTAGGTGAGGTACCACTTGGGGCGACAGTGCCACTGTGGAGAGAGATGGTAGGTGATGTACCACTTGGGGTACCACTGGAGCATCGTTACCAGCGTCAACGTAAGCTATCTAGAGTTATTAGCAGCTTAAACTAGCTCAGCCTTACATAACCTCATTATCGGCTTAAACTAGTGGATCTTTTGTACGTGGTAATTACACACTAAATGTCCTAAACTAAATCATTGTTAGACAAGGAGAGAACGATAACCGATTTACCCTTGAAAGTATTTACAACGACTCGCCGACATTATTTTTTTTATAGAACCAGATTTATCGTCACTAGATGTATGAAAAGCAAAAAGAAATGAAAGCCCGACCGTACAAGAAAATAAAACATCCAGTATTGAGACGCAAAGAGAACTAATCGGTTGAGGCACGGGGGAGCCAGACCAAATTACAGACCGGTGCTCAGGTCCCTGGCGTTATTAAAACAAGCAAGTCTAACTGTCAGAGTGGAGCAAGCTTGTGTCACGTGACCAGATGGTGCCGTACACGGTTAGAACATTGTGTACACTACATCGTACAGCTACCGCGGGAAGATTGTGTTCACTTTGCTACAGCTAGAAGCTTCATAATATATCAATTTATAAGAATTAATATACACTAATGCGTATGTGTCTGCGTTTTTTACTTTCTCGTATAAACGTAGTATAGAGAAAGTATTGTAATCGTGCAAAAAAAAAAAATCGAGATTTTTACAAATCTCGACGTTTTACACCTCACTGATACGGAAAAACATAATTTTGCAATCTTGTCCGTATGTCTGTGTGTCTGTCTGTGTGTCTGTCTGTGTGTAAACACGATAACTTGAGTACCGTTACAGCTAGGTTGATGAAATTTCATATATAAGTATTTTATCAAAATCGTAGATCCGTATCAACTTTTAAGCGATTTCCGATAACCGGAAGTGGTACTTTTCCTACTTTGAATTTTTCAAAAGCCTATAACTTGAGTACTATTTCAGATAGATAAATGAAATTTCACATGTAAGTAAAAGATCTAATTTTCTACCTTCTGTTAAATTTTGAGTAATTTCCGTTGACTGGAAGTAGTAATTTACGCTACTTTTCTCAAAAAACTAATGTAAATTTTTAAAGTACTAATAATATTGCGCACTATTATACGCGTTTTTATTTGGCGTTCACTCGGTGTGCAATTAATCTGTCTACGAGATTTTATTCTATTTTTAAAACTTTAAGTATTTAAAATGGATTAAAAATCATGTCTATAGCCCGAGTTCCCATCCCCTGTTATTTTATATAAGAATATTCGAGAAAGTTTAGGGGAGATCACTCCCGGTTTATTAATGTTTGTTTTCCAGGATGTTTTTTTTTCAAGTGAAGACAGGCATTGTTTTCTAGCAGAGCTGTAATCCCTGTTTCAAAAGTATACACAACCAAGGTATAGAGCCCCAGTTAAGATGGATCACCAAAAGTATACACAACCAAGATATAGAGCCCCAGTTAAGATGGATCACCAAAAGTATACACAACCAAGATCTAGAGCCCCAGTTAAGATGGATCATCAAAAGTATACACAACCAAGATCTAGAGCCACCAATTAAGATGGATCACCAAAAGTATACACAACCAAGATCTAGAGCCACCAATTAAGATGGATCACCAAAAGTATACACAACCAAGATCTAGAGCCACCAATTAAGATGGATCACCAAAAGTATACACAACCAAGATCTAGAGCCCCAGTTAAGATGGATCACCAAAAGTATACACAACCAAGATCTAGAGCCCCAGTTAAGATGGATCACCAAATGTATAGGCTACACAACCAAGATCTAGAGCCCCAGTTAAGATGGATCACCAAATGTATAGGCTACACAACCAAGATCTAGAGCCCCAGTTAAGATGGATCACCAAAAGTATACACAACCAAGATCTAGAGCCCCAGTTAAGATGGATCACCAAAAGTATACACAACCAAGATCTAGAGCCCCAGTTAAGATGGATCACCAGAAGTATACACAACCAAGATCTAGAGCCCCAGTTAAGATGGATCACCAAAAGTATACACAACCAAGATCTAGAGCCCCAGTTAAGATGGATCACCAAAAGTATACACAACCAAGATCTAGAGCCACCAATTAAGATGGATCACCAAAAGTATACACAACCAAGATCTAGAGCCACCAATTAAGATGGATTACCAAAAGTATACACAACCAAGATCTAGATCCACCAATTAAGATGGATCACCAAAAGTATACACAACCAAGATCTAGAGCCCCAGTTAAGATGGATCACCAAAAGTATACACAACCAAGATCTAGAGCCCCAGTTAAGATGGATCACCAAAAGTATACACAACCAAGATCTAGAGCCCCAGTTAAGATGGATCACCAAAAGTATGCACAACCAAGATCTAGAGCCCCAGTTAAGATGGATCACCAAAAGTATACACAACCAAGATCTAGAGCCCCAGTTAAGATGGATCACCAAAAGTATGCACAACCAAGATCTAGAGCCCCAGTTAAGATGGATCACCAAAAGTATACACAACCAAGATCTAGAGCCCCAGTTAAGATGGATCACCAAAAGTATACACAACCAAGATCTAGAGCCCCAGTTAAGATGGATCACCAAATGTATAGGCTACACAACCAAGATCTAGAGCCCCAGTTAAGATGGATCACCAAAAGTATGCACAACCAAGATCTAGAGCCCCAGTTAAGATGGATCACCAAAAGTATGCACAACCAAGATCTAGAGCCCCAGTTAAGATGGATCACCAAAAGTATACACAACCAAGATCTAGAGCCCCAGTTAAGATGGATCACCAAAAGTATACACAACCAAGATCTAGAGCCCCAGTTAAGATGGATCACCAAAAGTATACACAACCAAGATCTAGAGCCCCAGTTAAGATGGATCACCAAAAGTATACACAACCAAGATCTAGAGCCCCAGTTAAGATGGATCACCAAAAGTATACACAACCAAGATCTAGAGCCCCAGTTAAGATGGATCACCAAAAGTATGCACAACCAAGATCTAGAGCCCCAGTTAAGATGGATCACCAAAAGTATACACAACCAAGATCTAGAGCCCCAGTTAAGATGGATCACCAAAAGTATACACAACCAAGATCTAGAGCCACCAATTAAGATGGATCACCAAAAGTATACACAACCAAGATCTAGAGCCCCAGTTAAGATGGATCACCAAAAGTATACACAACCAAGATCTAGAGCCACCAATTAAGATGGATCACCAAAAGTATACACAACCAAGATCTAGAGCCCCAGTTAAGATGGATCACCAAAAGTATACACAACCAAGATCTAGAGCCCCAGTTAAGATGGATCACCAAATGTATAGGCTACACAACCAAGATCTAGAGCCCCAGTTAAGATGGATCACCAAATGTATAGGCTACACAACCAAGATCTAGAGCCCCAGTTAAGATGGATCACCAAAAGTATACACAACCAAGATCTAGAGCCCCAGTTAAGATGGATCACCAAAAGTATACACAACCAAGATCTAGAGCCCCAGTTAAGATGGATCACCAAAAGTATACACAACCAAGATCTAGAGCCCCAGTTAAGATGGATCACCAGAAGTATACACAACCAAGATCTAGAGCCCCAGTTAAGATGGATCACCAAAAGTATACACAACCAAGATCTAGAGCCCCAGTTAAGATGGATCACCAAAAGTATACACAACCAAGATCTAGAGCCACCAATTAAGATGGATCACCAAAAGTATACACAACCAAGATCTAGAGCCACCAATTAAGATGGATTACCAAAAGTATACACAACCAAGATCTAGATCCACCAATTAAGATGGATCACCAAAAGTATACACAACCAAGATCTAGAGCCCCAGTTAAGATGGATCACCAAAAGTATACACAACCAAGATCTAGAGCCCCAGTTAAGATGGATCACCAAAAGTATACACAACCAAGATCTAGAGCCCCAGTTAAGATGGATCACCAAAAGTATGCACAACCAAGATCTAGAGCCCCAGTTAAGATGGATCACCAAAAGTATACACAACCAAGATCTAGAGCCCCAGTTAAGATGGATCACCAAAAGTATGCACAACCAAGATCTAGAGCCCCAGTTAAGATGGATCACCAAAAGTATACACAACCAAGATCTAGAGCCCCAGTTAAGATGGATCACCAAAAGTATACACAACCAAGATCTAGAGCCCCAGTTAAGATGGATCACCAAATGTATAGGCTACACAACCAAGATCTAGAGCCCCAGTTAAGATGGATCACCAAAAGTATGCACAACCAAGATCTAGAGCCCCAGTTAAGATGGATCACCAAAAGTATGCACAACCAAGATCTAGAGCCCCAGTTAAGATGGATCACCAAAAGTATACACAACCAAGATCTAGAGCCCCAGTTAAGATGGATCACCAAAAGTATACACAACCAAGATCTAGAGCCCCAGTTAAGATGGATCACCAAAAGTATACACAACCAAGATCTAGAGCCCCAGTTAAGATGGATCACCAAAAGTATACACAACCAAGATCTAGAGCCCCAGTTAAGATGGATCACCAAAAGTATACACAACCAAGATCTAGAGCCCCAGTTAAGATGGATCACCAAAAGTATGCACAACCAAGATCTAGAGCCCCAGTTAAGATGGATCACCAAAAGTATACACAACCAAGATCTAGAGCCCCAGTTAAGATGGATCACCAAAAGTATACACAACCAAGATCTAGAGCCACCAATTAAGATGGATCACCAAAAGTATACACAACCAAGATCTAGAGCCCCAGTTAAGATGGATCACCAAAAGTATACACAACCAAGATCTAGAGCCACCAATTAAGATGGATCACCAAAAGTATACACAACCAAGATCTAGAGCCCCAGTTAAGATGGATCACCAAAAGTATACACAACCAAGATCTAGAGCCACCAATTAAGATGGATCACCAAAAGTATGCACAAC